AGGAAATAAATAAATGTTGGACAAATGTTTAAAGAGCTAAAACATTTTTCTTTGCCTTCATAACTTTTAATACATTTTTTAAAAATTTACAGAAGTCAAGAAGAATATGGGTTTGTGAGGAAAGCAAACAAAAAATAGCACTATTTTAAAGAGAGGGACATACTGGCTAAAAGTTGAAGTTCCAGGGAGAGGACACCCAAGAATTGATAAGGGTATTTAATGACAAATGTACGAGAGAAAAAGATGTCAAGGTAAATGACATACTGTAACTTCGAGGATACCCCCAGGAAACAAATGACCTTTATATTAAAATACATTATGGCCTGTGAGTTGAAAAGTGATGTTGATGTTTACATAATTCCAAGAAGAATTATAAGGTAGAGTGATCATTGGCTTTTATAAAATACTGATCTTTCAGTAAGAACCCAAAGTCCATAGTCCCTTTCCTGAATAACCCCCCAAAACCTCCCTAAAATACCAATTCAGTTTGGTAATGCTAATCAATTTATTCTGTAGCAGCAGAACTCTGTCCAATAATAGCAGAGGTACTAAATTATAAATACGGTATATCAATATGTTGTAACTACCATTCCTTTTCATTTGTTTATCTATCTACTGAAACCCCTATGAATCCTTTATTGCCAGGTAAAAATGCAGAGGTTAGGTTGCATTTCTAAATATTAAACCTTACTTATATATCTGATAAGGGTCTAAAGGTGTAAAGAACTTTTACAACTCATCAATAAAAATACAAATAACCCAATTAGAAAATCAGCAAAAGATATGAATAAATATTTATCCAAAGAAGACATACAAATGACCAGTAAGCACATGAAAAGATGCTCACATCATTGGTCATTAGAGAAATTCACATCAAAACCACAATGAGATACCACTTCAAACCCGCTACGATGGCTACATTTTTAAAAAAAGGAAAATAAGTATTGGAGAAGATGTGGAACCCTCATACATTGCTGGTTGAACGTAAAATTGTGCAACTGCTTGGAAAAGAGTTTGGTAATTCCTGAAAAAGATAAGCAGGGAATTACTATGTGATCCAGTAATTCCACTCCCAGGTATATACTCCCCTCCCAAATTAAAAACATGCGGTCACATAAAAACCTGCACACAAATGTCCATAGCAGCAATTCATAATACTGTGGCTACAAAGTGAAAACAACCCAGTGCCTGTCAGCTGATGAATGGATAAATAAAACGTTGTATATCTGTACAATGGAATATTATTTGGCAATATAAGAAATAAAGTATTGATATATGCTACAACAAGGATGAACCTTGACAACACTATGCTAAGTCAAAGAAGCAAGTCATAAAGGACCATATACTGTATGTTTTCATTTATATGAAATGTCTAGAAAAAGCAAATCTATAGAGACAGAAAGTAGGGCTAGGGAACATGGGGATTTGAAGGGTATAGACTAAGAGGCGTGGGGTTTCTTTGGGGGTAATAAGAATGTTCTAAAATTGATTGTAACAATGGAAGCACAAAACTAAGGGCCACTGAATTGTACACTTTAAATGGGTGAATTATATGCTATACAAATTATATCTCAACAAAGCTGTTAAAATACTAAACCTTATAAATTATCAATCAATATTTACTGAATGTCACATTATCAAAATAGTAGAGTACGTGAACCATGAATAACATTTTCTATATCAAGAACATAAACAATACCTGATCATCACTTTTAATTATCATACTCTTTTAAAATAAAAAGTATTAAAAGCTGTATATGGGAGAATGTAATTACCTTATGTTCACTATATTTCAATTTGGGACCAAGAACTTTTTCTAAATATGTAGCTTTTTCTTCCCACGTAGGCAGATCTCTATATTCTTTTTTCATTTTTTCCAGCCTATAGAAAGAAAACACAGAGTGTTATAGATTTAAAAAACAAGAAGAATATATATAGTAGATAAACAGAAGAATGCATACAGTATGATACATTTTTAAAAATGTTTAAAGAGGCAAACCAACAATATATTGTTTAAGGAAACATTGAACCTAAACTATACATTACATCAGGTTAACTTAATATTTACAGAACATTCCATCCAATAGTAGTAGTATACATATTCTTCTCAAGCACATTTGGAACATTCTCCAAGATAGATCATGTTAGCCACACACAAAAAAACTTCATAAATTTAAGAAGATTGAAATCATATGAAGCATCTTTTCTGACCACAATGGTATAAAACTAGAAATCAATTCTAAGAGAAAACTGGAAATTCACAAATATGTGAATATATGCATCAGACTTAGGAAAAAAGAGGTTCCTTAGTCATTCGGCTCAATGTTTATGAGTTAACTTTTGGGTCTGAGTAAAAATTATAAACACATACACACAATTATTTTTTAAATGTTCAGGAGCTGTTTCTGGTAATGACAGAATAGGTTATTTCAAATAAACCATCTCACTGCACAACTGAAAAAGCTAGACAAAAGGGCGCATCTGTGATACTTTCAACAATAAAGATAAATTTTTCAAAAATCTGTACAAAATATTTTTAAATATTGTTAAAACAGCAGCCAGTTATAAAGGTAGAAAGGATGTGCAGATCCAAGATTCCAGAAAGAAAAGTCCAGACACTTTAAGCCTATTGTTTTGTGCCATTTTTCCTTCAAGTGGCCAAAAGTTTAGAAGCCAAGCCGAGATTTGATAGAGATAAACAAGGATGGGGGAACAAAAACCAGAGTTCAGACCCTGCCGAGGATGAGAAGCCACGGGAAACACCTAGGGGCTAAGTAGGGACCCTAAAGAGCTGTACACCAGGACTAAGTGCCTCCTTAAACATCATGCCCTAGCTGCCTCACACTAGTCTCGGCCCTGATGCTAGGATAAGAGTAAACCAGAAAAAGACTAATCCTCACAGGATCTGGAGCCCAAATCATTCCATTCATTTCAATCTTGATCTCCAGTGCATTAAGCTAATCTAAGATTGCTAATGGCCCTGGTCCAGCTGGTTGCAGGATGCAAAGGCATGTCTTCTCCGGGAGTATATACGCCCAAGGGTCTCAAATTGGTTCTATAAATTTTCAAATATGTTCGGCAATCAACAAAAACTACTAGGCATAAGATAATGTAAGATTTGGCTGAAAACCATGAGAAAAAAGCTAACAATAGAAACAGATTTACAGGAGATCCAGAAAATGGAGCTATCAGAGAATTTCAATCTAAGATGGAACTGGAGGGTATAAAATGGAAAAATCTCACGCATGTGAACTCAGACAGACAAAATGTAAGCGCTGAAAAACCGATTTCCCACAAGTTTCTAGTTTACACAAAGCTGATAATATTGGAATTTTCTTAAATGATAGGGAATTAATCAGGAGTTGCCTCAAATCAACCTTGGGAAGTTTTGTTTATAGTTTCCAGGTCATGTACAGGAAATTATCCAAGTCAAGATGGTCATGAAAAATAAGCTGGATTAAACTTTGTTTGTATGACTGGCAGACTGGTTTTGTCAGCGCAGGGAATTTTCAAATCTGGTCTCCATTTGTTTTTTATTTTAACAGACTCTTACTGAACTTTCCCCTCTTTACAGTTCCTGCCCATAAATACAGTCTATCCCAAACTCACAATATACTTGCTTATAGCTCTCTATAATTTGCATGTCCTGAATTGCAATTCCTCTGTTATTCCTGAATAAACTAATCTTTTTGACAATTTTGAGCTTACCTCAGTTTACCTCTGTTACACTACCTTATAAATGAGTTTTCACTTCTTTTTTTTGCCATAGCACTGATTTTTTTTTAAAAAAACAAACACCTACATATGATAAGTAAAACTCAGGAATAACCTCTAACCCTGTGAAATATAACCACAATGAAGGTTTCCGGACTAACAGCAAGCCCATGTCTCAAAGGAAAAAATTAATATACAAATAGCACATAAATAAGATTTAAAATTTTTTTGTTTTTTTACCTTTCCCGAGGTTGCTGCTGAAGTTTTTCAAGTCGCACTACAGAGGGCTGGCTGGACTGGGTTACTGAAGCTGGTATCCCAACAGTAACATTCAGGTCTGGGGATAAGAATGCTGGATATTCTATTGACTGTGGTATAATAATATTTCTGCAAAATGGTAATAAAGTTAAATATTGAAATTATACAAAAGTACACTTCTAAAACCAGTGGTAGCTATCACTTTAGAATCATTCTCTGTTTTATACTGTAAGCTCACCTATCCACCTTGGACCATCAGAGGATAGAGCTAAGAAAGACAAAAGTCAGGAATCCTGAGAAAACTGCTCTCCTGAGAACTCTTACTACTAAAATCCTGGGCAGTAAAAACGGGCAAGAAGGACCTAAAGTTCTAAAGAGAAGTAGAAAGTGTTTGAGCCCAGACCTCTCTCCCAATCTCCAGATTACAAATCTCTATCTCATGAAGCAGTCAAGTTGACACACAAAATTAACTATCACAAGTCCACCCTTTGTCAACCTGGCACCCATAAACATTTCCTTGAATCACCAGCTGAAAACAATAACATGGTCACAATTCCTCTTAACATGCTACAATCATCCTGCACACAACCAAACACTCGCCAGCCCCTTCCCCAGAAGAGGAGCGCAAAGTCCCTTCTCCTTGATATTCTGAAACTTAAATATTACGGTGCAAGGTTAACAATACTTAAATATTATGATATAAAGTTCATAATATATCTTATGTTAAATGACAAGATGATCAGAGGGAAGAAAATAAAGATTTTGCGATATGTAGGGTGTCCCCCCAAAAATGTCTACACACTTTGAATTATTAATTCCGATGGTTAAATCTGAAGAGAAACATCAATTGAGCTATCAGCTGTTAAGTGTGGAGACATTTTGGGGGGACACTCCGTATATATTTTCTCAGATCACTGGGTAAATGGGCGAGAGTAGCACACCCAAATGAGAAATATGTTGCCTCAAAGTCCAGAGGTCCACTACATGCTGTACCTCTTTTTCGGTTTATGAGGGGCCAGATTCAACTTCCCCTTCACCTTAGCAGGAATATTTTTACAAGCCCCATACCACCAGATTCCTAAAATTTCCCTGGAGTAAGCGGCTCGTGAATTTTGGCAGACTTACTTCCCACCCTGGCGTGCAAGTGTCTTACCCATAAGCCTAGAGCTACATGTGGTGCCAGGAGGGTACTAGAATGGGCAGGGGGTAATTTTGTTAATTATATAATTGTCTAATCACTATTCTGTACACTTGAAACTAAAAAAAAGTCTAGTTTTTGTTCACTTGATCCAAACAGCATAATGTCATCACTGCGATGGGCCAGTGTGATAAGTTGTGTAAGTCCCTTTCCCTGCACTAAACTAAGGCAGGTCTGGCATTTCCCATTCACCCACAGTGGGCCATCTTTTGGTCCATGTTTGAGCAATCAACCAGCCAAACTATCAGAGTTCTTTCTAACGCCCCAAGCTACAACATAAGTCTCTGCCTAGTGGGCCCAAATCAATAGATTTTGTGTGATGCAACTTTATGTTTCTTCCACCATTATCACAATTATGGAGGCTAACAATTCACAAGGTCTGCAGGATGAGTTGGCGGGCTGGAGGCTCCGGAGCTCATTGTGTCTGCCGGCTGGAGATCCAGCACCAGTAGATGTTTCCATTTGCATCTAAAGGCAGGAAAAATCCAACGTTCCAGCTCAAAGGCAGTGAGGAAGAAGGATTCTCTTACTCAGGGGAGGGTCAGATTTTTTGTTCTATCCAGGTCTTCAACTGAATGGATGAAGCCCACCAGCATAAGGGAGGACAACCTACTTTACTCAGTCTACTGATTTAAATGTTAATCTCATCCAAAAACACCCTCACAGACAAACCTAGAATTTTTGACCAAATATCCATCTGGGCACCACATGGCTCAGTTAAGTTGACACATAAAATTAACTGTCACACCACTAAGGCACTGCCTTAGCTCAGACTGGCATTCTCTCTCATGTTCACTAAATAACCACAGTTTCCTCCAGTCCTTGACCTCCAACCCTGAACCCTTTCTGTCCACATTCAATCCTATTGATACAACCGTTATAAAATGTAAGTTGATCATGATATTTCTCACACTTAAAATTCTACAATGGCTCTACATCTGCAACATCTCCAAACTTGTCCAGTGAAGAGCTCCTGTGGGTAGAGGACAGTGAAGGTCTCCGGGGGTGTAACTTCTTATCCCATTCATACTACAGTCATTTTTGTTACATGTTACCTTTGCATTAAGCCATTAGCTACTTGTGGGCAGAGACCAGGCCTCACGTATCTTTGTATTTGCAATGCCTTGGGGGGATAGCAGACATTCAGCAAATGTTTACTGAATCAATGAATGAATGGATAAGGAAATAACAATCAATAAACATAAGAAAAACATCCCACTTTACTGTTTCAACATATCGCCAGTATCAAATGGACAAAACTTATTTTTAATAATAATTCCCAGTGTTGGTGAGCTAAAGGACAATAAACGCTTCAGAATATAATTTCCTATCCTATACCTAATTCCCTAATTCCATTTCTTATTCTTAGCACTATAGATTAAAATATGTCTCTCGGGTGCTTATTTTTCTTTGATCTATTTTTACTGTTGAAATTTCAAGGCTGGTTGGCACATTATATTTTAAGTTACTTTTGGTTTGCTAATGATGTTTTTTGACCATAGATTTTTGCTGGATTTGGAAGTAGCAACTGGAATGTGTGGAAATTAGGTAAACACTAATGTACAGCAGAGCAGAAAACTAAAAACTATTGGACACCTTGATCTTAAAAGTCTCTCCCTTCTGCCCCACTGACGTGGTTCAGAGGTTGAGAATCAACCTAGGATCCAGGAGATAGGGGTTCAATTCCAGGTCAGGGCACATGCCCGGGCTGCGGGCTCGATCCCCAGTAGGGGGCGTGCAGGAGGCAGCCGATCAATGGCTCTCTCATCACTGATGCTCCTCTCTATCTCTCCTCCTCTCAGCTTCCTCTCTCTGAAATCAATAAAGACATACATATATTTTTAAAGTCCCTCACTTTTTTCTACAAAAGGAATATCTCACTGGCCAACTTTCGTCATCAGGTTACCCATCCTTTCCTTCCTTCAGCCATGAAGCTGGCACCCACCTCCTTTATTTTTCTTATCACCAGATTTCTTCACAGCTCTCTTCAGGGCTATACCCAGAAATTCAAATTTCCTCCCTCCTTTTTAGGCAAAATAATTCACTGCTCTCTTTACCTTGGAGACTAACCTGTTCTGGCCAGGTCCTAACACAACCAAAATGCTCCATCGAACAGATTAAATGTTTGAAAAGCTACACAATCTGACAGTGTTAATCAGACTTCAAACACTTACGTCGCAGGGTCTGTTCTTTCTGGAGGCGGTGCAGTATTCATAAACATGGATGGTTCAACAATTTTCTGGAGAGGTTTTAACTGAAGAAATGGTAAGTATATTTTAACACTGGTTAGTGGCAGTTACAGTTCACCCTAATACTACTATGCTCCAGGACTACTAAATAGGCCTTAAACAATACATATAAGGAGAAAAGAGATTAAAAGAGAAAGAACTAACATTTATTGAGTACTAAACATCTGCCAAGAATTTTATATCTTTAATATTATTTAATCCTCTCAATAATCCTATGAGGTAGATAACTCTGCCTATTTCACAGATAATACTGAAGATTAGTAATTTGTTCCAGGTTACCCAGCAGGCACGAGCGCCAGGATTTGAATGCAGCTTTATCTGCACCCAATGCAGTACTCTCTCTGACATTATCATGACAGGTAAGCAGGAGACTATATTACTGAAAAGTTCATAGACAGAAAGTCAAGTTGAAATTTTATCCTATTTCCCACTCTCTTCCATACAATACCTTTGTTCCTTGTTTTTAGTAGAATCCACCTACATAAAACAGTTGCCCAGTTTTATTTGAAAATGATATTTCTACCTAAGAATGGGACTGTTACATGCTATACTTATATTCAAACACAAAACCTATGTCTGAAGTTGATAAACTGACTGTCACAAAAAAGACTAAACAATTAGGGGCCCCTATGAGACCTAATTCATTATAAGAAAGAAAGATAACAGGCAGAAGGAAAAAAATCGAAGCAGAGAAATAGAAAAGAAAAAGCTTTCGTGCTCCTGGCTTTCATCTCTATATTACTTACTTCTGACTCAAAATGCATTAAAAATTATGATCTACCATACGCAAATATTTAAAAATACATCTTATAGATTTATCAGTTAACATGACAGATTTTTTAATAAGACTGAAACCACTTTCAATTCATAATGAAAAAACAAACAAGACTATAAAATTAGCAAAATCTAAAAATGAAAGATTATATGCAAAGCATATGGGTCACTTCCCTATATAAACACAGCACTAATGGGACTGGACTTATAAATGCCCCAAAGTTGAGATAATGCCCAGGGATAGCAAGAATTATTTGAAACATTTGATGAGGATATATGATTGTACAACTTTTCTAGAACAATTCCTTGAAAAATTCAATGTTTTAGACAATAATTTCTACTCTAGAGAATCTAACCTGTGGGCACAGTGAAAGGACATAAGCTAATGGACACAACTTTCACTACAACATGGATACATGCAGTGAATTAAAGGGGCAAGCCAAAGCTAGGAACCTATCTTCTTTGGGCATGAATATCTTCTATTCATCTTTCTTGATGAATCAAGGAAGATACAAGTAACACCAGACATTGAAATAAACATAGGAAAAGGAGCATATGTGATCAGAGCACGAGTATTATCTGAATAACATCAATGACTCTATATTTAATAAGTATTTTTAGATATAAAAATCCACACTCACTTCTTGAATACTTGAACAATTTTGTTTTCAATTACGTAAGTATGTGAACACACACACACACACACACGAAAGTTTTATAATAAAGATATTTTGAATAAAAGATCATTATTTTAAAAGAGATAAGCAAATAATAGCAAAATTTCATTTTTCTTTAGGCTGGAAGAAACAGCATTCTTCTAAAACTATTTATTATCAAACTGGAAAGGATTGAGGCTCAGAAGGGGATGGTGTGACTGAAGAGCTGCAGTAGAATACTTTTTAAAAGGGGAACTAACCTGATGTGAAAATCCATAACCAAAGTTTCCATAGGAAAACATAAATTCCACCTCCATGCTGCAGATAAACTAAACATGTGGCAAATTTATTTTACAGTTTGATGAGATATTTTAATAAAGTGATAGCAAGTGATATTTTTACTTCACAAATTTACGTTAGAAAACCAAAGCGTGAATCTCCTGATTTATAAACAACAACAAAAAAACAAACAAAAAACCCAAACAAACAAATAAGAAAACCACATTTACACAAGGAACTTCTATAGAAGAATCTATGGAGTTACTGAAATTTTAAAAACTTTTGTGTTAAAATTAAGGAATGTTATATGACTAAGATGTGGTGAATATCAATTTATAATTGTTAATAGGATTATGCTGAGATACATATATGTGTGTGTATATATATTTTAAAGTATTTACTCACACTTCTCCCACCTCCACTTCCATTTTCAGATAATACTTTGAGATTTAGACTCTGAACCCAGTTCGCTTATATGTGAAATGAAGGAGGGTGTCAGAGATTAGGACCTCAAATGTCCATCAGTCTATTTTTTATGTTCCTTGTCCCTGTTTTGGCCATTGGCAGCAGAAGCCTCTCTGAACAGAAGATCAATTAATCAAGATAATAACTTTTTAAGTCCTTAAAAAGAAATTCAAATAAGAACTATAAACAACTCTTCAGAAACTCAAGGAGAAAGATACTATTTCCTCAGCAAGTGAGGATTCTGAGCTATGCAGTCAAAGCAGCAGCTAGAGGCATTTTACTCTCTTACCCAATGATTTCTAATCGTCCAGTTCACCATTTAGCAGTAAGATGGAGCATTTTAAAAAAATGGTAGAGATGAAGATTTTGTGAGTAAATATTGCAGTTTGTATTTAATATATTTCCATTAATTCAAACAGTGTCTAGTAGGGTAACCAAAGAATAAAATCAGAGGCTACAAACAATATCAACGTAAAGTTATATGAAGTGTTAAGTGTGGGCACAAAACTTTGGAAGTTTCAGTAAAGCTCTTACTGTGTTTTCTTCATTCAACATTTGAAATTCTTCAGTAAAGCACCCTTTCTAGAAAAAAGTAATAAATAATAAAATTATTAAATATAGATCACTCATGCATATAATCTAAACCATTTCATAAATTTAAAAAAATCAGGTAATGATTTTTAACGCACATATTAATTTAGTAGCTAAAATACAAATAAAATGAATATTTGGAATCAAAATTCTAGGTTGTACCAAAAATAAGTATTAATACTTATATTTACGTTTTAGACAAAAGTGTTCTTGCTAGTTATAGTTCCTCTTTTTGGAAGTCTTAGAGGAACTGCCTACCGTACTTTCAGGGATCATTTCTATAGTTTGTTATTGAAGGATTACTTAAACATAAACCTACATGATAAGCTGACTCCTGACAGAACTAGGGGGCATCTCTCATCTTTCGGGGACTTTTGGGATCTTTTAAACCAGGTAAAGCTTTGGTGTCCTTGGTCACCATCTCTGATCATCATCTCTGCTGTGCTATCAGCTCTCCTACCTATTCCAACATCGACGGTCCCCTTTCTTCCCAGCGTTTCCCACTGCAGCTCGTGAATTCCCCATTCCATGATTAACAAACCACCTCACATCTTTAACTGATCCACCAAACATCCCCCCTTTACTTTACCTGAGACCTGGCTGGCCACTAAGAACGCTGTTTCCCTTGTGAACTCAAGTGAAGGCCCACATACCTCACGGTCAGGAGGCAGAGTAACATCCTCCACACTCCCTTCCACTGCTTCCATGCAGATATAAACAGTTTTCCTTTCAGACACTCCAGTCACTAACTCTCACTTAGTGAAACACATAAATCAGTTAAAATACTACAATAATAAGTAGCAATATACCCTTTACCTAGGTAAAACAAGTTCAAACATTTGTTTAATTTAGCGAGTGTTAAAACTGTTTTGACATTTTGCCGTTTGCTTTCTCTGTGGGTACATATACATGTTTACTGCACCATTTATAAGTTGCAGCCATCATGTCACTTCACTCACCTTGCATACTGCAAAAATTAGGATATCCTTCTACATAACCACAATATTAGTACCATACTTTAGAAAATGAACAATAATTTTATAATTTTATCTAATATTCAGTATATATTCAAAATTTCCAAATTTTCACAAGAATGTCTTTTGTAACTTTTTCAAACTTGTATTCAATCAAAGTTGTTGTATTTCTTTTCATCTAGAACAGCTGCTCCATTTTTTAAAATGACCTTAACTTTTTAAAGAAGCAAAGCTGATGAGTCTCCCATTGTGTATCTGCCTTATCACGCCATCATGGCATTATTTAACTTTTCCCTATGCCCTGAAAGTTAGGTCAGCTAGGTCTAGACTCAGCTTGGTTAGGCTTGGGTTAAACATTTTCCATGAGAATAACTGATAGGTTGTGTCCATCATATTGCACCACCTCAGGTGCTAAGTTGTCCACAGTTACTTACGCTGAGTCAAGCTCTTGGTTAAGGTGGTAACCATCTCCTCTCTCTACCGGACAGGCACACTTCCCCTTCGTAATAACCTGTGGGCTCTGCGGCACCATGCAAATATCTTATTCCCCAAGCACCTTTCAGCTAACGCTTTTCATACCATTGCTAACTCTTGACTGAATCATTTTCACTATAAAAAGTGGTAAAAATCATGAATTTGTAATTCTATCACTCCTCCTACATTTATGAACTGGCATTCTTCCATTTAAAAATAAAAAGCTTCTCTTTTCTTCTCCCTCTCCCTCCCTCCCTCTCTCTCTCTCTTTCTCATCAACAAGGATTCATGGATTTTTCTTCATTCAAAATTTGTAATGGGGAAGGGAACACTCTTAGGAAGGAGAAAGCAAGAAAGGAAGGCTCACAGAATCTGTGTATAAACTCTGCCCAAAACTTTGGCTGACCCCTGACACATGCACAGGGCAGACAGCAAGCGGCCCAGCTAAGGATAAAAGCTGAAATTTATGTTGCCAACTAAGACAAAGAGTTTGTCGTTTGAGTCTTATATTAAAACATTTCAGAAAGTGTAATAAAACGTGCTTAATTTTTCAGGTTGTATCACTGCCCTTCCAGAAAATAAATTTTCAATAACATTATGCTGTTATAAACCAAATCTTTTTTTTTAACAGCCACAGTGAGATATTGTTTCCTGGACACATGAGTTTGAAGGCAAATAATAAACAAAAGGAATCCATAGGGTACAGGTAAATCTTAACAATAAACACCAAGTGGACAATGTGATACCAAAATTAAAAAATGATTTTGACACATACCTGGATTATTTCATAAAGGTGTAACTGAACACGCCCTAACACGAGAGTATCATTTTCTTTGTTGTCATATTGTACTAGATCCAAGTAAATATTATTCCGCACATCATCTTGGCGTTTGGGAACCTTGATACAAAATACATATGAAAAGAAGCATTAAACTTTTAGTCTGAATTTCAGTTATAATTTCTGAATATATCCATAAATATATTATGTGCATATCTAATGATTAATTTGCATGTTATTAGCCTTAAAACTTTGCAATCTCAGTCACATATACCCTAATGTCAACGAAAATCAGGATCTTATTTATGCCTAATGTCAATTATAGTCTTTTTGAAACACCCATGCCTACATTCTCTTTTAACTCCACACAGAAGTTTAGCCTCAACACTATTGAATTAATATTAAAAGTAATCCAGTATCTAGTATCCAATCCAAATAATCTAGGTAATCCAAACAGCCAGTACCAAAAGAAATCAACCCCCTTTTCAGTCTTTTTTCTTTAACTTTTTGATAGAATGTACACCGCTGTCTCAACTTGGAACTTTGAAATCTGTAATACAATACTATTATTATGTCACCTTATGTCATCAATGTGTCTCTCTCACATCAATGTTTCTCTCTCTCTTTCTCTCCCCCCCTTCCACTCTCTCTAAAAATCAATGGAAAAAATATCCTCAGGTAAGGATTAACAATAAATAAATAAATAAATAAATAAATAAATAAATAAATAAATTCCATACACTTTTGCTAAATAGAAAAAAAATCTCATGCCTCCCCACTCCAAAATTCTAAGTTTCTTTTTAAAAAATTTTAAGTGAAATATAACTGACATATTACTTTGTATTACTTTTAGGTGTACAACATGATTTGATATCTGTATGTATTGCAAAATGATTATCACAGTAAGTTTAGCTAACATCTATCACCACACAGTTACAAATTTTTCTTGTGATGAGAACTTTTAAGATCTACTCTTTAGCAACTTTCAAATATACAATGCAGTATAACTACTGTCACCATGCCGTACATTAGATACCCAGAACACATTTATAACTGTAAGCTTGTACCTTTTGAGCACCTTCACCCATTTTGCCTACCTCTAAAACTCTACCAGTGGCAACCACCAATCCATTCTTTGTATACATGAGTTAGGTTTGGGTTTTTTGTTGTTTTTTTAGATTCCACATTTATGCGAGGTCATACAGTATTTGCCTTCCTCTGTCTAACTTATTTCACTTAACATAATGCCCTCAAGGTCTATCCATGTTGTTTAAAATGGCAGGATTTCCTTCTTTTTTACAACTAAATAATATTTCATTAATATTTTCCTATAAAATGGGAAAAAATATTTGCAAATCATATATCTGATAGGTTAATATCCAAATATATAAATATATAAACTCATACAATTTAACAGACAAAAACAATCCAATTAAAAAATAAGACTTTTTAATCTATTCATCCTTGGATGGATACTTAGGTTTTATTCAATATATTGGCTCTTGTAAATAATGCTGCAATGAACATGCTGGTGGTGCAGATATCTTTTCAAGATAGTGATTTTGTTTTCTTTAAATAAATACCTACAAGTAGAATTACTGGATCATATGATAATTTTTAATTTTTTGAGGAACCTCCACACTGTTTTCCATAGTGGCTGCACCAATTTACATTCTTACCAATAGTGCACAAAGGTTCCCTTTTCTCCACATCTTTGCCAACACTTGCCATTTCTTTCAGATCACAGCCATTTTAACAGGTGTGAGGTGGTATCTCACTGTGGTTTTGATTTGCATTCCCCTGATGATTACTGATGGCACCTTTTCATGTGCCTGTGGGCCATTTGGATGTCTTCTCTGGATAAATGTGTATTTAAATCCTCTGCTTATTTTTTAATTGGATTGTTTTTTTCTGTTAAATTGTATGAGTTTATGTATTTATATATTTGGATATTAACCTCTCATCAGTTATATGATTTGCAAATATTTTTCCCCATTTTGTAGGCTGTGTTTTCATTTTGTTGATGCTAGTGAGAGCATATATATTTTGGGGGATTATTATAAAGCCTGAAGAGATTATCCACACAAAAATAATTGCAGAGATTTTATATAAGAATACAGGAAAGAGGAAAAGGGGGAGATGAGAGAAAAAAATGGTGTTCTATGAACTGACTGTTGTGTCCCCTCAAAATTCATACATTGAATCCTAAATCCCCAAGGTGATGGTATTTTAGGTGGGGTATTTGGGAGGTAATTAGGTCATTCGGGTAGAGCCCTCATGAATTGGATTAGTGGCCTTATAAGAAGAGACACAAAACAGATGATATCGCTTTGCTCTCTGCTATATCACTATAACGTTGAGAAGACGGCCAAGGGAAACCAGGAAGCAGGCTCTCACCAGACAATGGGCGTGCCAACACCTTGATCTTGAACTTCCCATTCTCCAGAAAGGTGAGAAATAAACATCTGAACAAGCCACCCAGTCTATAGTAATTTGTTATAGCAGCCCAAACTGACTAAGACGGGGTGAGAGATGGCAGATGAGAGGGAAGAGCAAGACAGAGAAAAATGCATGTGTGATAAACCAGACAATAAGATCTCAGGGGGAAAGACCACCAAGGTTGTGTATTTTACAGTAAGCTATTTCTTTCTGTTTTAAAAAGGTACTGCTTTTGTTTCTTTCCTATCCCCCCAAAAAGATATAATTAACGTAGCATATTTGAATCAAATGCATTCTTGTATCTAGAAGAGAACTTTAACATTACCTGTACAGAAAAATACTTCATTTCATCAAACTTAATCATAGTTTTCTTTTTATTATTGATATATGGCTTGCTTTGGGATAGCAAGCTACACATTTTTGTATATTTCACAATGTTGTTTATAGAGATACGAATGCACAAATTATTGTAATTCTGTAAATAGACTGAAAACACATAGATATTTAGGAAGCAAATTTGATTGTAATTAAACAATAATATATAATAAAATTAATCCATTAAATAATTCAGACCAAAGCTTAAGACTCAATCAAATAAAGAGGTAATTATAGAGCACATGAAACAATGAAAAATAGCATTTTTGCCCATCAATGTGAGGTACAATATAAGTAGAAAAAGGTTGATTCTTCCTTAGATCAATTCTCATATTTTTATCCTCACATTTCATTATAATTCCTTTGCAAATTTTTCTATATTTTAGGGTGAATAAACATTTAAAATATATAGTTGAAATTTTTTTCTAAGCATAATTATATAGAAATTCAAAAAATATGTAATTTGAGAGTAATTTTCTTTTAATTTTAAGACAACACAATTTAAAGCAGCATTCTACTCTGATTCACTTCACTATATACTTCACTTAATCTATGCTGGCCTGTATTTTTATCTTTCATAAAACTCCATGCATTAAAACAACTTTGTGTTTAAGATTTAACTAATTATCTTCAAAAATCTCTTCACTAATTCACTTATACAAAAAACAAACCTCAAATTTTCATAAGGAGACTGGGTTTATGCCATGCTAAATCTAATAATAGGTATTCAGCTTATTTAAAGATACCAAGATAGATAAATCCTTTAAACAGTGTTTAAGACCACAGTTATTACTCAGAAATAAATTAGTAATATCCAAGAAGATATATATTTTTCCTTTAACTTATATGGTGATTGAGGTGGGTTACAGATGGCTGAAAATCTTTTGTCACTCTCCACACCCAAGAGGGACATTTATTTTCCTCTGCTCTTGAATCTCACCTGGACCAGTGACTGCTTTAACACGCAATGGACATGACTAGGCTGGGACTAGGACAGGGTCAGAGAGGCACTAGCCAGGGTGCAAAATTTAAGGGGACACCAAAAACTTCAGTAACGAAGATTATTTAATTATCAATTAAATAATATTTTAATGTAATATATTTTTAAAATCAAAATGAATACAGAAAAAAGTAATAAAAGACAAGGCCCTGGGACTACATGGGAAGAGAGCCAGGTCCAGCCGTTTGGGCATCCCAGCTGAGACTCGCCTTCCAGGCGTCTCACTAAAGCACCAGGCACAGGGGTGAGCCATTGCAGATATTCCAGCTTTTTTGAACTGCCAGGTGGCTGCAGCCTCAGCTGTGACGGAAAGCAGAAGTACTACCTAGTGAATGCACAGCGATTCATAATAAAATAGTTACTACTTTAAGCCATTAAGTCTTAAGAGTGTCCAGTAATGCAGAAATATATAACTGAAACGGTGCTACGTGGTGACAACATGGTTCTTAAGTCAAAAGAAAGGATACTCTTAGGTGTAAAATGACTGCAGTTCTTTATATGAATAGCCACACAGCCAACCTATAACAATCAAAATAAAAATACAGTGAGTGAATTTTTTAAAAGTTAACTCTTCTTCTATTTTACTCTACACCAAACTACATACGTTTTTTTAAAGCTCTACTTGGTTAGTCTTTCTCATTAAAAATAGAAATATCTAGTGATTGGAAAACAGCAGAACGCACAAATGCAGAAGCAAAACAGCCAGGATTCGTTTAAAACAAACCTAAAATGAACAATACAAAGCAAAACAATGGTTCATCACCGACTTAAATCCACCCGTCACTATTTGAATCATTTTTATTTCATATTACGTTAGAAGTGGTAAAATGTAGCATCTTGCATATAATAATATGCCTTGCTTGAGATAAGCTTTTTTATCCAGTATCCTAAAACCACTTCATTCATTTAAGAATCATTCATTAACTATAATATGCCGAGGGCTGTGAAATACTCATTCTCTCTTAGACAAAGTGTTTCTAAAAGTTAGAGAAAATTATATCTTGTGTTTAACCATAAAATTAAATATAAAATGAATACAGGCACATTTAAAAGTAATATGCAGTATTAGCCAAATATATTTAGCCATGTTTGGCATTAAAAAAAAAAGAGCAAAAGCAATAGCAATATTATATTAAACATTATGAAACAAAATAAATGGCCCAATAGTATTTTTACACGTAATGTCATTGGTTTTAGAACAATACAGAGAAGATGTTAGCATTCAATATTTAATTAAAAGAATACTGTATCTGAATGATGAAATCCTAAAGTAGAAAATACTATGGTCTACTTAATGAAACATAGGTATGAAATATTATGGAAACAGAAAGATTCTAAGTTTTCAAATACAAAAGGAGGGATTTTAAATGGTATTTGCCCCAGGTGATGCCACGAATCTTTCTTTCTTAAAATCAGGTTGTACATGAGGATGAAACAGAAAAGTATGCCTACAATTTTGTTTATTCTATACAATGCAGATCACTGGCTGCCTGCCCAATATCTCAACATGAAGCCATGGGCAACCGCCTTAATCTTCCTGTGTTTCAATAGCTCTTTACACTTTTACATAATAGATCTACATAATATAAAAAAGAGGTTTAACACTCAAAAATATAATAATGACCATTCACAGACTGCAGATAACAAATGTTGTCACAGAATCTGAGACCCATCTGCAGCCCAAAGCAATGACCATGTCAGTATCTTCACCCCTGAACACTCTCAACATGAGCTTAAAATAGGAAAGCAACCAGAAAACTATTCACAAAAACACTTTTTTCTCTTTTTTCTTTATTTTTATTGTTGATATTGTAGATGTACCCATTTCCCCCCCTTTGGCCCCTCCACCCAGCTCCTGCCCCCACCCCCTTTCCTCTGGCCATCACCACACTGTTGTCTGTGTCCAAAAGCACTTTCTGTGTCTAATTTTAAGATACAGGTTTCTCACTTTTTTTTCTAAAAATAGGCTATGACTATCAGAAACAGGAGCAGTGGGTTGTGATGTAGTTATCATTGTTTACACATTTACAGACCTTGCAAAATATCTCAAAATAAACCCCAGAACTTTCAAAGAGGAAATGGTGTGACTAAATCATGCATTGGAAGGAGCTATCAATTACATGCCAAATATCAAAAACTCCAGTGGACCTTCAAGAGAAGCTTTTTCATATCTAGCAACATGTAATTCAAATAAAGAAAATGCAAACTATGAAGTTAGAAAGCGTGAGTGAGATCAGAATGGTTTTCAAAATGCCAGTTCTAAAAAGATGCAGAAGTCACATTCAAGGGTATGGATTACAGAAATGAGTGTATCAACATAATGACATGCATAATTGCTTACAGCCCAAAGCGATTTCAAAGAATCTTTTCTAAATTTAGATTCAGGCTTACACTCTATGATATAAGAAAGAAAGTGTTACATAATTATATAGGTAAATGCACACCATGGTCATTTTGTAGAAACAAAAATGTATACATTAATATAGCCTTACTATTTCCCCCCAAAAGGTGGTGGTAAATTAATCATATATTTTTTCAATCAAGAAAATGTGTTAGTATTAATAGGAGATAGAGAAGAGGGATAAGAGAAACTCTTATTCCATAGCTGTAACTACTTTGACAGTGTTCAGAGAAAAAAGGTGGCTGTAAAGGAATACCACAATATTTGACAGTTCTAAACGTACACAGGTCCTCATGTCCTATACCCTGTAGCGCCCAAAAGAGAAAACTGATTTTTCTGTTCCTCGGTCTAGATATTAAGTCCTACCTGTGTATCTGGGTGCATGTGTTTGATTCTTTTCCCTGGGGTTTATTATTTTTTGGGTGAGAGAGAGACGTGGGGTCAATTTTCAAACTATAGCTCAAAGGTTCCTAAATCTGACAATAAATACCATCACCTTAAGAGCGCAATAAAAATAGCGATTCCTAGGCCCTGTTCTCAAATTCTAAGTTAGCAGATAGTAGGTGGGGCCCAAGAACCAATGTTTTTAAAAACTATTCCAGTTGATTCTTATGTAACTTTACTTTAGGAATCTCTAATATAGAAAACTTTTTTTTTCTGTTAATCAGGATGTTTTCCATAATTTCAGTGATCATTAGAATGCTTTTCTAACTCATAAAAATGAAAAATTGATGGATATGTTATCAGAGAATACCATTTCCTATGCATACTTTTGATTTCCAAATAATAAACATTAACGAGTCTTAATGTAAAATAAGAAATAACTTGTATGAACTTATTAGGGATTAGTCACACATACCACATCCCCAAATGGCACCAAGTTTTCTGTTTCAGGTTTTACTTTATGTTCTTTACTTTCAGACTCTCTATAACTTTTTTTCAGCATCTACGATGTAAATAAATTAAAACTTTAGAAGGCAAAGAACAACATTACAAAAAGTTTACTTCAACTCAATTTTATCAGTATCTAGTATCAGGTACTATATTAGGAAGTGTGATATTAACATGACTAGAAAACTCGTCCCTACCCTCAACAAGTTTATCAATAAGTTAGCAGAGAAACAAAGGAGAGAAGTACATGGTATCATAAACAATGAGGTTTTTTTAAAAAAGAAATTATCTTTATTATTGAAAGTATTACAGATGTCCCCCTTTCTCCCCCCATCGCCCCCACTCCCACCCCACCCTCACCCAGGCCTTCATGGCACTAAACAATGATTTCTTCTTGCTAACTGAAAAAGACCATCATTACCACGTTCCAGTCTTAATTTGATGTAGACTAGGTACTGTATCCAACAAAGGGCAGTGATCCTACTTGCAAATTACCCCACTATTCCTTCAGGTATCAGTCATGGAAGGAACTGAAATATAATCCTTTGAAATAGTTAGTACACCAGAATGAAGCAATGAACAGATGGTCTGGGGATTTTATTGTCGTAATTTTCTCCAGAGTAACTTCATTAACTGGTATTTGTGGGTTGGTATTTGACTTTGTTCTACAGGCTCTAGTCACTACACACAATGATTAGCCTTTAAAAATTAAAAGGCATTTTAATATAGATTTAAAAGTAAAAGGAGGAGGGGGGAATGGAAGGGAGAGGCAAGAGGAATAGGGAAAAACTGCCTATTAAAAATATAACTTAAAAGTTGCCATTTGTGACAACATGGATGGATCTTGAAAATACCATGCTAAGTGAAGTAAGTCCGACAGAAAAAGTGAAGAACCATATGATTTCACCCACATGTGAGATATAAAACTGAAAGCAACAAATGAACAAACAAGACAAACACACACTCACAGACGTAGACAACACTAGGGTGATTATCAGAGGAAAGGACGCTAAGGATAAGGGGGTCAAATACTACATGGTGGTGGAAGAGCTGACCTTGGGTGATGAGCACAGAATGCAACATACAGATGACGTATCATAGAATTAATTGTACACAAAACCTATATAATCCTATTAACCAATGACACCTCAATAAATTTAATTAAAAAAAATCTAACTTTAAAAGAATTATATTTATCCCCAGTCCTTGCTAAACTTGAATTAACATAACCTTATTTACAAACATTACTTCCCAGGAATCTTCGTTGTGATGTGTCATTCAAGAATCACTGTTTGATTTTTAAAGTATATAACAAATCCTTAGTTATGTTAAAATTTTTGTTTTAAAGTATGTAATACCTTAGTTGTATTGAAAAATTTGTTTTATATATTTTGGATCATTTTGTTATTGTTGCATCTAACTGGTTTAATGTGTTTTATATACAAGGTAGGGCAAAAGTAGGTTTACAGTTGTGAGTATGCAAAACACAGAATTTATTCTTATATTATTATTATATTATTTTCTATATGAACTGTAAATCTACTTTTGCTCCACCATATATATGTGTATATATATACACACACACATATATATGTATGTATATGATTTAATATGTAGTTTAAGGTAATTGAGTGACAATTACTGCATTGTCACATAAATATCAAACTGTGGTACATTATATATGTATTTAATGTGGAACCTCATGCTTTCTAATGTTTTGATAACATTATGGAAGTCTACTTTGAAAGTACTTTTATTACTTTTTTGAATGTACAAAATAATGAACAAATTCAAAATAATTAGGAAAAAACACCTTTAAAATACTGATGCTCAATTTATCCTTAACAAAGTGGCAAAAAATCCTACCTCCCCCCTCATTTTACTACCTTTTTACTTTTTCTTCCTCATCTGAGCAAAGCTCTCTTCAATGACAGCAACATGAGCAAAACGATTATTTGCCAAAATTCTATTAGAATCTTGAACAAAAGTTCTAGAAATCAGTCTCATAAAGTCTCTGACACCACCTAGAATTTCTCCTGAACCTGTAAAAATTTTTAATTTCAGTTAATTCTACAATGCCTATCATCTCTGTCACTTTGGGCCACACCCTGAATAGAAGTCCCTCGGCACTTCTGTAATATTTTAAACAAAAATAAAATAAAAATAAAAAAGTCAGTACACTCACTCACATTGTTCTGAACTTCTTTCCCAGTGACCTTCTTGACCACTTCCTTCATTCCACAGTTTTTTTGAAAACCACTAGCCTACAGGCTCACCTTCCCCTAGAATATTCCGACTTCCTAGCCCTAATGGATACCTCACTACCCTTACATTAAGTATCATTATAACCATATGCCTGGCATTGTGCCAACTCCAGCTTGGAAGGGCTCCTGCCCTCAAGAAGCTCAGTCTGGCCCGGCCGGCATGGCTCAGCGGTTGAGCATCAACCCGTGAACCAGGAGATCACGCTGCGATTCCCAGTCAGGGCACAGGCCCGGGTTGCGGGCTCGATCCCCAGTCAGGGACGTGCAGGAGGCGGCCGATCAATGACTCTCTCATTGATGTTTCTCTCTCTCTCTCCCCCCTCCCTTCCTCTCTCTGAAATCAATAAAGATATATTTTTTAAAAGTTCAGTCTGGTACTGAAGACAGACAGGTGGAAAAACAATTACAGTTTCACTAGAAGAAAATCAACTTCTGAGAAGAAGGAATTTTGTCTTTACTTTCTCTTTGCCCGGCCCAGATCTTCCACGTGGAAAAACGAGTTAACTTATTTGGTCAGATTTTGCCATGCACTGTGAAAGGTGCAGGTACATGGAATTATTAACTCTAAAAAAGAATTGTTTTAACCCTCTTTTATCCTGCCCAAGCTTAAGAGCAGCAGCTTCTTCTCACCCTCTGTGGTTTCCTGTCCTCATGAAATAAGGACACTTACAGCAAGGCCCAGGGATTACCCCCTAGAGTAGCAAGAGAAAATATTAGAACTTAGCAATTTTCTTTAACAAATAAGAAAGTATGCATATACAGCTGACTCTAAGCAGTACACAAATATTCCGAAGGAAAGTGTGAGTTCCATGCTCAGAGGGGTTCATATGACTGCCCTCATGCTTTCAGGGTGCTGTGTTTGCTAGCTAGGTGGATCGCCCCAATAGTAGACTATTTAGCCTGCTTTACAAATAGATGAAAACTGACCTTAAAAAATTTCATGGCAAAGCATTTTAAAAAGTTGGCAAACATAAAAAGACGTACCAGGTGTGAGCTGGTATATCACTGTAGTTTTTTGGGTTTTTTTAAATCCTCACATAAGGATATGTTTATTGATTGATTGATTGAGAGAGAGAGAGAGAGAGAAAGAGGGAAACATCCTGTCAGAGTGAAACATCCGTCAGTAGCTTCCTGCATGTGCCCCGACCAGGGATCGAACCCACAACCTAGGTATGTGCCCTGACAGGGAATCAACCCACAACCTCTTTTGGTGTGCGGAACAACACTCCAACCACTGAGCCGCCCTGCTGGGGCTCACTGCAGTTTTGATTTGCATTTCCCTAACAGCTAGTAAAGCTGAGCATCTTTTCATATACTTGCTGGCCGTCTGCCCACTTTTTCACAAATACTGATGGTCACAACCCTGGAGCAAGAGAGGAGCGAGGGGTAAGATTCCAGCACCAAGCCCCATTCCGAAGGCCTATGAACTACCCCAGAAACACAGGGCAAATAAGGAGGGTGGGGAGAGAGTCAGGAAGGGAGGTGATGATGCTTCAGGTGGGTTTGAAAAAGTAAAACATGAAGAAATAGAGGGAGAAGAGCCTACACAGAATAAGTGTAAAAGCATAAAGAAGCAAGGCACAGTTTATATTACATGTTGTTATATTGATATAATATATGAAAACTGATAAACAGACCAGTGGAGTAGAATATAAAGTCCAGGGAAAAAACCCAAATACATATGGTAACTTAGTATAAAGGTGACATCTCCAGTCATTAGGGAAAAGATTTAAGAAATTAAATAAATGATATTAGGACATTTATTTGAAAAAAGAAAAGAGCCTCAGGAATTGAAAACAAGGGTAACAAGTTCCTGGAGTTTAGCCCTTGAACCACATAAATGAAATCTCAACGATGCCGGTGGCAGCCCCTAACATTTACTGACTCTACTCCGTGCTTTGCACTGTTCAGCTCTTTTAGCATTACTCCTTGGCTCTTCAGACAACCCTATAAGTAGACAGTAATTACTGTATTCATTTAACAGCTAATAAAATGAGGCCTGACAAGTTAAGTGACTGTCAAGCTCTCACAAGTAAGCCCCCAGGTGTGACCGCCTTCCAGCCGGGGCGCGCACGGAGCCCTTTGTCCCGCCCGTCGTCCCGCCCCGGCCCTCTGGCGGTCGGGCAGGGGAGGCTCCATGGGGGGGGGGCACTCACGTTCAAAGGCCGGTGCCCTGTGCCCTCCTTGGCCCGTCCTCGGGCAGACCGGTGGTCTTGCCTCACTCCTGGAAGTTACCGTCTGCAGGAAACTCCGACCCTCCGATGCGCGTGGTTTCCCGGGAGTTGGGGCTCCGCCGCGGTGCCCGGCTGTGAGCAGGGGCCGCCCC